GATCAAACATCTGAAGTTCGCATTAGTTGCCAACGTAAGAAATTGGAGCATTCACCTAAAATCAGGATTCCCCACTTCTCTTTACAAAGTGGCCAATTGGGCTACCAACCAAGTGTGGTCGGTGTCACTTCAACCCTAAGAGGAACCCCCAGCTTGGGGGTGTGGTGAGGAGGAAACTATCCATGCAGACAGTTCAGTTGTGTAAACTCCCACTGACAGTAGCACAGCCCAACAGTGTGGCCATTCAACTGCGAGGCAGCACAGTCCGGCTGTTAAACAAGTCCCCTCTCCAGCTTTCAGGGGTCTTCACCTACTCCAACCCACTGCACCCCACTCTGCCCCAGTGAGACAGCTTCAGTGTTTCAGCTCCAGCAAACAGAACATGTCCCAGTAGAAAGGGAAAGTGTATCCATGGGCAGTGTTTCTCAATGGATAGAGCCTCTGCCTGGGGACTGAGGGCCCAGAGTTCAATTCCTGGTCAGGCCACATGCCCGGGTTATGGGTTTGATCCCCAGATCAAACATCGTTGATGTTTCTCTCTCCCTCCATCTCTGAAATCAATCTGTACTAATAAAAGTGTAATGTGCTCATTAGACCAAACAACTTCCAGACAACTTTCTGGATGTCCTTTTGGACAAAGCCATGGTGGCGGGGCCAAGGTAGCGGCAGTTAGGGGCGATCAGGCCGGCAGGGGAGAGCAGTTAGGGGGATCAAGCTGGCAGGGAAGAGCAGTTAGAACAATCAGGCTGGCAGGGGAGAGCAGTTAGGGGGGTCAGGCCAGCAGGGAGAGCAGTTAGGGAGATCAAGTCGGCAGGCAGGTGAGCAGTTAGGAGCCAGTGGTCTCAGATTGCAAGAGGGATGTCGGGCTGCCAGTTAGGGGGATCCCAGGGATCGGGCCTAAACCAGCAGTCGAACATCCCCCAATAGTTCCCCGATTAGAGAGGGTGTAGGCTGGGCTGAGGGAACCCCCCCCTCCCGTGCACGAAATTCGTGCACGGGGCCACTAGTAGAGTATAAAGTAGGACCAGAGATCTCTCTTAAATTAGAAGTCATTCAGATAATCTGTCTTTTTTTAATACTTTAATTTTCTTTTTATATCCATTCAGCTATCCCATGTCTTTTTATTGAAGCACTTAATCCATTTTCATTAATGGCTATTATTAATAGGCACTTATTTATTGCCATTTTAATTCTGTATGCCTATGTCTCTCTTTATATATATATTTCTTCTCATTACAGCAGTCCCTTTAGCATTTCTTGCAGTGCTGTTTTGTGGTAATAAAGTCTTTTTCCTGTTTTTTGTTTGTTTGA